ATTCCTTTTTCCTGAAAAAATCTTATGGCAGCCTCTTCATCATTAAGTAATTGCTTAAGGCAAAATATGGCACAAAAAAAGTAACGATAATTCAAATGAAAACTAAAAATCATGAGTCATGATATTTCAGACGAAAATTACAAATCTCGAGCCATGATATTTCAGCTGTTAAATTCTTGAGCCAGGATGTTTGGCGTGGTTATTGGCACATTTTTAACTGATGCCACTCTAATGGAATTGTAACCAACTCAGTTATAATGAGTCCAGATTTATCAAGAGCCAGGATTTAATAAGGAAACCGAAAATATTTGGTTGGTGCAATGTTTAAACCTATGGAAGCATAACTCGCTTGTAATGAGCAAACCCTGGTTATAGCGAGCAATATTTTTTTATTCATAAAATTTCTATTGAGTTTTACCTCTCCAGCTGAGGCAATTATTCTTTTTTGGAAAAATTTCTCTAACATTCTGAAGAAAGTTATGAATCATAAATCCTGCAAACATGTGACAGCAGCATTTTTTATCTTGGCGAGTGATTAGCATTGAATTTTTACCACCGAATTCCTCAAGTGTTATTCAGCCTATGGACTAAGGGATCATCAGAAATTTTAAATCAAAGTTTTGGAAGCACTTGATTTTAATGTTTCTTGATAGAAGGAATAAAAAATAAGAAAAACCTCAAATGCTGATATAAACATACTCGAAGCGTTACATCAATATGCATTGCCAGTTGCTTCCATAAGGCTGGATTGGACATTTCTCAAGAGAGGCAAATTGCTGAGAAAGAAGTAGAAATCTGGGAAAATTTGAAGGGTAAAGTGCAGAATCGCCCACTTCTTTGTTTGGCACTTTTTACAAGAGCAAGAAGAATTTTATTTTTGACAATTTTCTTTGCTTTTTAAGTGAAAATAGGTTGATGTGTACATGGATAAAGTCAAGGGAGTGCAAAATGCCATTTTTGTGCAATTCTGGGATGTTTTATTAAGTGAAATTAGGTCGATGTACATGGATACTGAGTATGTGCAGTTCTTAAAAAAGCACCAAGCAGTGGGTGATTCTGCACTTTCCCTAATTTGAAAATGAGTAGAGAATAATTTGAAAATTATGTATCGGTTGCCACCAGCGTTACTACTTCCGAGATACCTACTGCCGTGGTATTTTGAAGCTGAAATTCAAGCTAAAGCAGAATAATGAAAGCTCTGATAATAAATGATGAATGGAAGAATTTCAAGGTGAACTGCCCCCAATATACTCATGGCTTTTGAGTTTACAGAGAAGTTCCAAAGCCAAGGGTACAAGTGACTGTGTTTTTTTAGCCATGAATCTTCTCCGAACAACAATAACACAAGAAAGAGACACTAAGGCAGTTCAAAGCAAATTAACCAACTTCTTTTGTACCGTACAGATATGTAAAATAAAGAAGTATTTAATAATTTTTCTGATCTTTTTCATGAAACCGTTTTTTGCGAGCACTCATTTATGACGAGCAAATATTGCAATCCCTTCACACTTGTTATAACAGAGTTCGAATGTATAACAAAATGCATATTAAAATGGCAAAATTGCTTGACTGAAGGACTCAATTTTCATATACAGTCAAAAGTCGTTAATCTGGACTTCGGCGATTCCGGATTATCGATTTTTCTGGATTATAGATCATCAGTTTAAATCTGGTAAGATGGCATGCAGAAATTATAAAATTAAAAAATATGAAACTGTAATTTATGAAATAAAGAACAATTGTGATCTAAAGGGTATCAAAATTTACAAAAAAAAAAAAAAAAGCTTAAAAGCTTCATTTATTTGTTTACTTTATTAAACATTTTCTTAATGTAAGTTGTTTAAGTTGCTTCGTTTTTTATGTGATAATACATTCTCTTTAATTCTATAAACAACATAATTTCTTGTTTCAGTTACAAAGTTCCATGCTGTTCAAGTCCTATAATTGCTGTGTCGAGAATACCGACTAATTTATGAATCGAAATTTTTTTGTTTTCAATAACCTCTGTGTCACTTTCTTCGCTATCGGAAGCGAATTATAATGACGAGGAATTTGATTTAAATCATATCAAAGACGGAAGTACATCGAGATGAAATACTACATTTAATAAGGAATTATAAGCCAAATAAAATGAAAACATCTGCCTTGAAGCTAAGTTAAAATTATCTAATTAGTGCTGACAGATCAACTTCCAATTCATTGCACGCCCGGCGCCCCACCTCCCCCCCCAGTTTAGATCCGTTTTTATAAAGGATGCCTTTATCCATTTTTTGCAGCAATTCCACTCCCTTTTTTTTTTTTCTTTTTTTTTTTATGGACATTTAAACGTGCTTTCGCTTTGTAGATCCTTTACATATTAGAATCAGAAATTCTTTTTGATATAATTGAAAGTTCAAGCTTACTTTTATAAAATTGTTCTAACAGTGTGCAAAAAATAATAAGCCGGATCCTATTCAAAGATTAAGAAACAACGCAATCTGCAACATTAACTGAATTAGATAATTTTAGCTTAGCTTATACCATCCGTTATACATTAAACGCGCATGCGTCAATGTATTTTGTGCATGCACACACGCATATTTGCAGCCGTAAAGGTATTATGCGCATGCGTCTCGACGCATGCGCAGAAAATTTGTAGCTTTGAGGTCCGGATTATGGGTGTCCGAATTAACGACTTTTGACTGTACAGCCCAGGATACATGTGGTCGCCAAATATGGCAATATTTTGTGTTGGATGGTTTAATTGAGATTTTGTTGCTGTGAAAACCCTTTTTTCGTGGAAACTTTTGTGGGGAATCTGGTTTTATTTCATTGTGCAGTGGTTTAATTGCTTGTTGGTTCATGTTGTGCGTGTTTTGAATGACGCAATGAGAGACTTGATGGCAAGTTTTCAGTTGCGTATTTTAGATTGTGTGCAAGGTAAATTTAGTATCAAAAGGTACAATGTTGAAGTTGTTAACAAGTCTTTTGTTCACGGGTGTGTTTATGCAGATAGAAGTGCATTTTTGGAATTTCTGTGGGAGTCAGAAGTTTTAAAACGGAGTTTGGCATGTCCGAAATGCGGAGCTGATATGAGAACTTGGACGAAGAATGGTGTTTCTGATTTTCTTGTGTGGGTTTGCAGTCAAATGGTTGCTGGTAAAGCATGTGGCTGTCAGCGGAGTTTAAGATTTGGATCAGGGTTTTCGTGTAGTAAGTTAACTTTGGAGGAAGTTTTTATCATTACTTTCGAAATGTTGAATCGCAGAAAGACATATGATATAGCAAAATCGTGTGGCTTTTTTGTTCACAGATGCTGTGTGACTGGCAAAATTTTATTCACGTATGTATTATGGAAAGTGCATTTTATTTTGCTTTTGTTTTGTAAAATGTTATATTCATTGTTTTTTTACTATGAATTTCTGTTATTATTTGAATTGTTTGTAATTTATTTTAGTTTATTTTGTTGATTTGTGCGCGTTGCCTAGATTGTGCAATTCGTAGATTTTTTTATAAGTTTAAACAGAATGCTGTGTACATAGTATTCTTTGATATTTATTGTTGTTATGTTAATTTATTAGAGCAAGGTGTGCATAGTTCATAGATTCTTTCGCTGCCTAGATTGTGCAATTCATAGATTTTTTTTTTTTTTTTTTAAGTTAAAACAAACCACTGTGTACATGGATTCTTGTCAAATGTTTTTGTTTTGGATTTTTAGCTTAAATTGTGTGTTCACTGCGAAAACCACGTTTTTGGAGACATTTTAGGCTTAAAGTTGGAAATATAGACAAAAAATTTAGATAGTTATATGGTACCGTGGAGTTTCTCGCCAAAAATATTTAACCAGAAATTTGGCGACCCGAGGGCGCACATAAGAATAGTTCCAATTTGCCATCTGTTTGGACCATGCTGAGTAACAATGCAAGGAATCTAGATTGAAAGCAAGAATAAATTTCGCAAAAATTACTACGGGAAAAATTATTGAAATGGTCTCACAATGTTTTTCAAGATGTATTATTGCAGCAAACTAGTTATAAAATAAAAATGGCAATCCCCCAGAAAGAACTCTCTTAAGAGGGTTACGTTAGGCCAACATGATGTATCATCCCTCTTCCCCCCCCTTCCCAGAAAACTGCAGACACACAATGCAGAGTGCAGTGGTGTTCCGTGCTACTGAAAAATGCCGTCTGGTCCTAACACTGTCAGTAAATGTAATTAATCGATGTATTTATATAACCTCTGTCTGCTGTTGTTTGTTCGTGGAAGAGAAGTAGTCCTAAAATCTTGTCATGCATTTTATCCTACAACAAATTTTTACTTTTGGGCAGTTCTGCTTCAACTCTCGTGTGGCACGAGGATTTTTGGATCCACACATATTTACATTATGTGTATATTAAACCAAAATAAATCATTAGGAAAAGTTTTTTAAATGCATGTTATAATATGACAAAAATTTACAACACTACTACTTACAGAGGGCTCAAAATAATTAGATAAAGTTGTCGAGGAATTTTGTTAACACCCAGTATTTTGCAGAAACTTCTGTCATTTTCTTCAGATTTTCAATGTAATGTGTTCTACAAGTGCATTTGTTCTTTCCAGTGGCTCACAATGTTTTCAAATTTTAATTATTTATATTTTTTTTATCAAAATATCTTTCAGAAATTTCCCATTAATATATTCTTAAAGCTACCTTTTTTTAAATATAAGACCACCGGTATCCAAATAGATAAGATTACTACGTTTGATAGTTTGTCAACAGTTCAGTTCCAAGTGGCTGAATGTATTTGCTTCATAAAATTTTTGTGGTGTTCTTCTGTATGTAATATGAATACAAGTAAGTTTCTCAAACTCTAGAAATATCATCATCTAAAGTAGATTACTGTTGAGTGATTTGCCATAATGAATTATATGCTTATTTTTTTAAAAAAAAACAGCATTGATATGTTAAATATGTGTTGTATGAATTCGTTATTTTAGAGACTTTTATATATATATATATGTGTGATCTTATTTTGCAGAAAGTGAACTGACTGGTGCAACTAATTTGATGTCCTATTACAACTTGGAACATTCCTATAATAAATTTTGTGGCCGTAAAATGAAAGATCAACTAAGTGCATTTCTTCCAAACCTCCCTGGAAATATTGATGGTCCAGGAAACTTAGATAACAGGTAATTTATAAAACTCACACATTCTCAATTTTTTTGCAGCAATTAGTATTTAATAAGTGAGAGCAACGATTCCCAACAGAGTCAGTAGTGACCCCTGGGGGTTGATGAAATTTTAAAGGGTCAGTGATGATCAAGGGGTTGATAACTGAATATACACCGACAACTAATAGGCCTAATCAAGTTCGTTTAACATATCTCAAAAAAAAAAGATGCCTGATATTTGGACTGTTCTTTTTTTTTTTTTTTTTTTTTTTTTTTTTTTTGTTTTTTATTATTATTATTATATTATTATTATTTTAACACATGCAGTATTTAGTTTTTAAAAATATTCAGGAAGAGCTTCATAGTGTTTTAAAGCTATGCATCAAAACAATAACTAAAAAGCTGAAGCTTCGTATGACTGTCATTTTGATTTTCACAGACTGACTGTAACTGTGTTGCCAGAGTGATGAAAGTTACAGCAGTTAGCTTCTTCACATAGATTTGCAGCAGATTTCTAAGTGTAAAATTTTGCAGCTTGTTATAGATGTATTTAATAACGTGATTGAAAAATTTGCTTGAATTTCCCAACCCTGTGATGACACAATTAATTAAAATTGAAAAATATATTGATATATACTCACTGTTTAACATCATGCCAAAAAAAAAGTCTGATGTGTACACCACATGACTTCCTTGTACGGAATATTAAATTATACGCATTTTTTCTTGAATTTCATTTAAACTTATTGGATTGAATTAAATCTACTTCGCCGACAGCGCATAAACCACAATGGAATAAATGCATTCTTTAAAATTCACTCTAGTATTTGCTTACCATAGCGACACTCTGGCGCTAGATTCACTAAACAGTATTAATAATTATATAACAGTTAACATATATAATAATTATATAATGGAAACTAAGTTAACTGTTATACAATCCATATTATATAACAGTTAACTTATGTATTTCATTCATATTATAACTCATAATGCACAAAATTTATATCATTTAAAGAATAGAATTATCTAATCGTTGCCACATGTTCTATTCAAATACTATAATAAAGCTAGAATGATGTATAAAAGAAATTAAGCAAACAAAACAAAAAAGAATTTTTTTTTCACAGACGATTGAGTATTTCTCATTTAATTAATTCAGTTCTCACTTCGTAAGAAGGCAAAAGTACATAAAAACTCAAAATATATATATTAGAAATTACGAATTAAATCTTAAACACTTATTTCCTCGAAAAAATTCCAGAAAGAATTAAGCATGATTTAATTGTCAATAATAAATAAATGTGTTATCTTTGTAGTTGTGAAGCTAAGTTTCTGTACATTGGCAACAAATCGACTAGTCTCCTGTTTCAAATGTAAACTCAATGGCCACCATAAAAAAAAGGCTTAGCGGCACAAAGGCATAAAAACCTTAACCGGAAGATAATACAATCATTTTTAAAGCAAAAAATTTAAAATTTACAAGCATATAAGAGTAAAGAAACTGAGATCACTGAGACAGGTAACAGAGTGGATATATATATATTTATATACGTTTGGTGCGGCCGATTGCAACCAAAATACGAGGTGCACATCTACATGTTATAGCAGTCCTATATACGAAATTTCAACGTTCTGAGGCTAATCGTTTTTAAGTTATACGAGATACGTACGTTCGTACAGGTGCCACGAAAAATTCTCTTCAGACTTAATTTTAAAGCAGTTTTATAATTTTTTTGAAGGAAAAGAGTATTTTATTCTGTCCTTGTGTACAGATATCACCCAAAAACATCGTTAAATTGTATTCAATAGCGGTTAAAATGGATATTTTCGTTGAAATATGCTGCTGAAACTTTTTGCGATTACAGTACTTCCTTTTTACTTCGTACAAGGAAGTAAAAAAAAAGGGAAGAGATATCAATCGTATTGAAGTTAGAATGATTACCTTCAGTTTTCATGTAAAAATTTATTTGCTTGCATCAGCAATGAATCAAAAAGAATTCTATTTCTTTGATTATTTAGTGCAATTGTCTATTACTGAAAAGGATTATATTTCATCTGAACATATATTGTTTTTTACAAGCTAAAAGAGGGGTTTTCGTATTTGCTTTCAAGACAATAATTTGAGCATAGCATGGCTCAACCACTGAACTGCAATATATCTGATCTTGACGTTATGTAGCAAAAAGACATGACTGAAGGTGGATATTTAATCAGAAGTGTCTTATTAAAAACACATAGGTGTGCTATGTTTTGGAATTTAACTATCCCAAAATAAAGCAGGCAGATATCCTAAAATAAAAATTATTACTGAACCAACATTGTTGACATTTCTCTCTTCATACCTAGTAAAAGCAGGCTTTAGTGAAGTCAGTAATTTATTATAAAGCATGGAAAAGATGTTGAGTGTTTTTGAATAACGTGATTTAAGAATTGAACGATTTTATGCCAAATATTAAAAATTTGCATCAATACATTAAGTGCAACATTAATCTGAATTAATTAAAAATGGATTTTTGTGCTATTAGAATTGTGATTTTATTCCTCAAAACTTGTTAAAATTTGCAAAATTAATGTAATAATAATACACAAAATAACAAATCTAACATAATTTTCATCTTTGTGTATGTGTAATTATTTGTATTATGATTATTGTATGCTGTATATTATAGAGAAAAATGTAAGGAGGTTGCTGAAAAAAAAACTTTTCTTTTAAAAGGGGTTAATGGGAGAAAAACGTAGGGGAATCCCTAAGTTAGAGGCTTAAGAAGTAAACCTCTTCTCTGAGCTATTAATATTATTTAATATTTATCTTTTAATGCCTTGTTTATTTATTTGTAAAAGGGGGGTCAGACTGTTTTTCCCATTTGTAAAAGGGATATAAGTTTTAAAATCTTTCAAAAGACGTGAAACACTTCTTTTTTAAATTGATGGTAATTGAAGACTGAATTTTGCCCACTTTAAAATTAGATTATATGTACTTTATTTTATACATTTCAGTATAAGTCGATAGTTCTCAACAATTTTTATCCATGCAACCCTTTAACTATTTCTATATGAACATTAACCTTTCCCTTCCAAAATGCATAAAATACATATACATTTATTTAAATTTAGATTACTTTTTAAAATGTTTTATCAATTAAAAGGTATAGTAAATGTTGATAAATATCGAAACTTGATGTAAACTAAAACTAAATTCTTAACAGGTAAATAAAAGGCTGACAGCATTTCCCTCCTCCTGAAACTATGAAATTCCCTCTTGATATAAGTGTGAATATCTTAATCTTTTTCTAGCATTCCCCCCCCCTCTCCCCAGAATGTTAAATTTTTCATTTAGAGCAACAAAGCTGCTGCTGTGTGCCAACTTGGAGAAGAGACGGTTTTACTTTAAATATGTTACATATATACTATATAATTTAAGAGACTGACTTATCTTAAATTATATGATGAAGTAGTATTGATATATAATAATTTACACATCATTCGTCCCATAGTGATATTTTTTAAAGGAAAAAGTATTATAAAATGTTTAAAATATTAAATATTCTTTTTTACGATTTTATAGGTACACTGAAAAAAAATGGGATAGTTCTATATATTATGTTCTACTTGGCCAATTGACGGAAATTAATTTACATTTTTCATGTCTCAAAAGCCAAGTTAAGTTTTGTCAATTGGCCCAGTAGTATGGGAGATAAGAATTGCCCCCCTCTTTTATGTTTATAATATATGTTTGCTATATATATATATATGTACAGTACAAAGTCCATAATCCGGACTCATCGGGACTTCAGCGATTCCGAATTATAGATCATCAATTTAAATCTGGTAAGATGGCATGCAGAAATTATACAATTAAAAATATCAAACCGTAATTTATGAAATAAAGAGCAATTATGATTTAAAGGGTATCAAAATTTCCAAAAAAAAGCTTAATATTTATTTGTTTATTAAACATTTCTCTTTCAACGTAAGTTGTTTAAGTTGTTTCGTTTTTTGTGTTAAACGCGCGTGCGTAAATATTAAATGCGCATGCGTAACATTAAACGTGCATGCATGTAAAGCATACAATAAAACGTTTGTTGATTTAAGGTCCGGATTATAGAGCATTCTGGATAATGGACGTCCAGATTACGGATTTTGTGCTATATTCATTTACAGTGATGGCAATTTTCTGTTTGCTATGAAATGAAAGTGAAGGTATTGCATTTTCTCAATAAATGGGTATGTTACCCTTCACACGAATTGCGTTGAGAAAAAGGAAAAGTTAATACAGTACAAAGTCTGAGATCCTGACTCATCGGGACTTGGGCGATTGTGGATTTAGGATTTTTCTGATCAGTTTAAAGCTTGTAAGATACCATGTAGAAATTATAAAGTTAAAAATATTTTTCAATGTAAGTTGTGTTTTTTGTGCTAATATTTTCTCTTTAATTCTGTAGACAGACATAATTTCTTATTCAGTTACAAAGTTCCACTGTGCAAGTCCTGTAATTGCTGTGTGAAGAATTCCGACTAACTTGTCAGTCAAAATTTTTTCATTTCCAATAACCTGTCTGTCACTTTCTTCACTATCGATAGCGGTATTTTCTGGATCTAGAACCATACTACAGATTTCACCTTCCAGTAATTGATTGATAATTGAGGCAGTGTCGTCGCAACGAAAAATCTTCTGTTATATCATCTCATTTATCACCACTGTTCCACATTTCTTTAAAAATTCCGTTAATTGGAAAATTTAACCTTTGGTTTGTGATATCCAAAAACCTTCACATTCGTGGCTATCATATTCATCAACCTCGCCACAAAATATGCTAGCTGGTCATAAATTATGCCAAGTATTTTTTAAAGTATCTGGAGACACATCCTCCCAAAAAGTAGATTTTACGCTAAAATGTTTAAAAAATTCTTGAATAGTCTTGCCATTACTCAAGAAATTTAACATGGATTTTAAAAATTCTACTTTACATTTCCATTTCAGTGCACGCACTTTTATGATATCCATAGGCTAAATGATTGAGGTACAATTTGGAGGAAAGAATGATACAGATACTTTATCTTTCAGTGAAGTATTAACCGAACAGTTGTCTACAATCAGGACAATTTTTGCGTCATCAGGTAAAACAACCGAATCCTGCCAAGCCTCGGGTGTGAAATGATTTTCAAACCAATCATTTGTTAATACTTGTGTCATCCATATTCTTTTATTTATACGACATATAATGGGAAATTCTTTACTTCTTTAAATGCCTGAGAACGTATATTTTTTCCGATTAAGAAAATTTTACACTTATGTGTTCCTGCCGCATTTGCGCATGCAAAAATTGCTGGTCTAGCTTTGGAATCTTCGACGCGAGTTGGAGCTTTTTCTATAGAATTTGCCAAGTTATTTTGTGTTACATATTGCCAGAAAAGACCAGTTTCATCAGCGTTGTAAATTTCTTCTGGAGATAACTTTTAACTATTGATAAATTCAATGAATTCATCTGCAAATATTTCAGCAGCTTTAGTATCAGCTGAAGCTTTTTTACCTGAAATTCTTAATTGCCTTATACCATGGCAATTTTTCAATTTGGTTAACCAACCTGTCGAATATGTGTGCTCAGTCTTTTAGTTCTTTTCTTATTGAAATATTTTAGCTTGACCCATCAATGCACGCCCTCGTTGCGACACTGTCTGATCTATTCAATTATCACTTTGTCATGATCTTCACTTTTAGCATAATGAATAAGTTTCCTCTGTTATTCATTGTGAGCGGGTTGTCAAAATATATACGGTAATTAAGCTGGATCAAATCAGAAAGTTAAAGAATAGCGCAATCTACTATGATTGGCTGAAATTCCTTGGAATCAGTAAAGCATAATTTTACCCTACCTTAATAGCATCTGCTATGTATCATGAGATTGATGATGAAAGACAAGTTGTTCCGTTAAATTTTATCTTGCTTCTATGTGCACTGAGACAATTAAGCCTGAATTGTATTAGTTATTTATTAAATTTACGTCTATTTCTTGTGCATGCTTAAGGTTTAGCTGGGTTCTGAATAAATTAATTGCCACATAAGGTCTGTTGAGGACAGGTGCTAAATATCTTACTACCTCATGCAGTCTCTGCAGGCCCTAAATTCTGCTACCACTCGCCTCCTTAAGTTCTAAATTTTGGATCCCAGTGCTTTCCTTAAATTCTAAAAATATTTTCATCCTTTAATTTTGTTGCTTGGTGCTTCTCTAAATTGAAAAAAAAAAATCTTGTTTTCCCTAAATTCTGTGCCCGCTTGGTGCTGCCATGTGATCTCTGGCACTGGTTCTGTCTTTATGTGAAAACCAAATCAGTTATTCTTAATTCAAATAGCATTAAATGTAATTTTTTAGCCTATGAGTATCATTAACAAAGTCTATTTTTAGTGTATGGTAAAAAATCTTTGTTAGAATTTTTACTCCTCAATGTTTGTAGTGCATTTAATTTTAATCTGTAATCATTGCCAAGAGTAGGAATATCAACATAAAAGTTACCATACTTCTTTTGTACTAATATTAAAAAAATTGTTTGGGTATTGCTGCATGAGTCATTATGCAGCTATGATCAAATTATTGATCACACAGATTTATGCTAAATTATTTGTTTCTTCAATAAGGAAGTATTTATTTAGTGCCAAAGGGAAATTAAGAATGGAGACTCTACACATGTTTTATCTACAAGGAGGGGGGAATCAAATGTGCATACATAAAGCATTTAAAAAAAGAAAGGTTTGAGATGTGGATTTTAGATAAAACTTCGGGTCAGATCTCGGACTTTGTACTGTAATTGTGCATTGCTCTTAAATTTGATTCCTCCTCCACACACACCTTTTTAAAGTCTAATATTTTACATAATCTTACTGAAAATAATTATATTAACCAGTTTCTTGTTGTATTATAAAATTTTGGTTATGTTAAACATTATTTTATTGCTATTACATATAATTTCTAAGTTATTTTTGTCTTATTGAGTTCTTTTGTGAAGCATTTTAATATATCTTTTTAGTGATTAATTTGAAAGCATATTATTAAATTTGTTCCATTATTTTGTAGAATTGTTGGTCTCTTTCATTGAGTTTTTTTTTTTTTTTTTTTTTTTTTTTTTTTCCCCCCCAGTTCTTTGAAGTCTCTCATTGAAAAACCCCCTATTGGAGGCAAAGAACTATTGCCACTTACTGGATCCCAGTTATCAGGTTTTAGACTTCATCCAGGCCCTGTAAGTTTTATTTTGAGTATAATCTGAATTTTTCCCCATCGTTATACCCAGAGGGACTGTTGAAAGGTGGATTTAAATGAAGAATTTTTCTATAATATCTTAAGTATTAAAATTGCGTGAAATGTTTTAATGCACATATGAAACCCTTCAGTGGCCAAATAGTAAAATTGCTAAACACAGCTCATTCCAGAGTGTTAAAATTCCGGCTGCATGAGTGTTATCGTGTTTTTCCTCATGTGTAATGTGTATATGAGCCACTTTCCCTTAGGAAATCCTCCATGAATGCATCCTTTCCTTTAAACAGATAGCCCTTGAGTGCTTTACCATAATCAAATAAATAAACCAAATCTGATGCGTATATAATTTATTTATTTATCTGATATTCTTGATTGCCTAAGAAAATATATGCAAAGAAGCTACAAAAAAACAAAAGGGAAAAAGTTAAAATGCTATCACCAAATTCACATCTATATTGTAGAGGGTTTACTCTGAAGTTATATATTAAGCTTAATAAATTATCTGCCATTTTTCTTAATATAATAATGTGAATAATCTAAAATTCAAGCATGTAAGAGCACAAAAAGCTATTTACTTATTGAAAATAAAGTTATTAATATTGTATTAAAAGTAATTTTTTTCATCCTGTTTTATTACATTAAAATGGAAAGTTTAATTACATTAAAATGGAAGGCTTCATTTAAATACTTAGATTTTGCATTTTTACTGGCTGGGAAAAAGTACAAAAAGTGAGTAAAAATTGTTTTGATACATTTTTAATTTTCATAGGGCTATTTGTTTAATGTTCTTCCTTTTGCATCAAAAATTAGAATTCCTATTAGTGGTAATTTGAAAGGGAGGAATCGGAAACACATGCTGACTTGTTATTCTATTTATCATTTTGTAGTATTTTGACTTTCTTATAAAGTATCTGTGTACAAATTTACATTTTTTTTTATGCAAAGGTAAACTGCATAAGTATTAAACTTTTCCAGTTGGTCTGTTCTATTATATTAATATAAATGCAGGCTAGTTGCCCTTAAAAGCTCTTCACAAAGACATATGTATTATTAGACATACAGCCTTTAATAATCCAGTTCAGAATGAATTTTATTGTTTGTCTTAACACATTTTTATTCATTTATATATTCATAGTTTTTAAAAATGAACTAATAATCGGATCCAACTTAAAGTAGAAAATTTGATATAAACCATGTATTTTTAAGAGTTATGTTTTCAGTAGTTACGGTAAGCACGGTTAAGCAATTTTTTTTTAATGATCTACACCCCTTTGTTGATCATTTTCTGTATTTCTTTAATTGCATGTATAAAATATCTTATATTTTGAGAGAAAGGTTTACAAAATCATTTGCAGCTGTTTGTTACACATTTAAAATGTATAGGTTTGAGATCTGAAAAGGTATAAATGGTATACTTTCTGAAAAGGTATACTTTCTGGTAAACAGTTTTGTAAATTGCGTACATGTAAGTCCGATGTAAAAAAATATTTAAGAATGTGGAGATTTTGTGCCCCAGCTTTCCCAACAAGCTATATGATGCAGTATAATTGTGTGACAAATCTCTTGATCATTTCTAAAAACATTTTAGATAATGTGAAAAAGTCTTCTTGTCTGTTACGGAGTATTCACTTATGTCTAAACTAAAAACTCAGCGGCACAAACAATCCTTAGAGAGCCATGGTCAGCAGTGCCCTTATATCTGCTTTCTAGACCTTAGGCTCCATGGTGCTTGTGCATTGCCTGGACAAGTGGTCGGCTTGTTGCAGGACCCTCAGTGTTTAATCCCCAAGTTATCTTACTCAAGGGATGAAAGTCAACCTTGCCTAGTTCAGGGATCGAACCCTGGACTTGTGGTGCTGCTGCACGATGTGCTAGACACTGTACCGCCAGGCCTCCTCACTTAATGTCTAGTTACCATTATTTTTTAAAGTCCTAAGGCATTACTTATGGAACAGGATTTAAGCTGTAACCAGTCAGAAGAGGTAAAGTTATGCATTTATGAATGTGCAACTGACTCTTCGAAATCATTGACTGAATGTCATTTCATGTTTGCTTTCACTGTGAGTTGTTGGTTTATATACCAGGTGAAAATAAAAGTTGGAACGTTTAGACAAAATCCTTTTTCAGTTGAGTTATAGCAACATCTGGTTGCCTAGCAGTGAAGTTTAACTTTGGCCACTCACAATCCTAAAGCCTGGTGTGGACACTCCATTAGGGCATATTGTAGCTTTATCATATTTTTCTGGTAGTTTTCATTTTAAAAAAATTTAGGTTGTTGCAGATAATTTGATATTGGATAAGCGCTAGTGACTAGTGAAGATACCAATTATGTTGCAGTCGCAAGGGGATTGAAGTTATGAGATCACTAAAATATCGATTACATAGTAGAAGACGTCAGGCATTTTTAAAGAATTACAGAATCACTTGATAATCCAAATATAATCTTTGTTACTTACTGTTTACTATATGGCATGGCACGTCAAAGTGGGGATAATCTGCACCCCATAATTATGATGATTACGCATTACATTTTTAATAGAAGCTACCAAGCAAGAGATGTTCTTTAGTTAGCAAGCAAAGGCAAAAAAAAAAAAAGAGAGAGAGAGAGAGAGAAGCCCTAGTTAGTTGCAGGTATATTTATCAGCTTGGAAATTCTTTGTTTTAATTCTGGACAGCTATTGAGCAAAAATTTGCAGCAATATAGATATTGCAGGGAAATTGCAAAAACATTAAAGGGATTGTGTTATAGTTGGAAATTAAGATTAAAGATCTATTGTCAATTTGTCAAAATAAGTTTTAATTTGGTAATGAATTTTTCTTCATGTTTTGATATCTTACATATATATTGCTATTTTTAATGATGCATTTACTTTTATAAACTGTTTTGCATGCATATTATAATTGTTTCATTATTTATTCCTACAGCTTCCAGAACAGTATCGCCTAATGAGTCAGCAGCCACAAAAGAAAAAACATAAACATAAAAAGCACAAACATAAAGCTGGTGATACCCCAACGCAAGAATCTCAACAAGGTAATATTTATTAAAATAATAGTTTACATATTTGTAACTTTTTTAAAGATTTATTGTAAATGTATTTTAAGACATCCTTCAGTGCAATGTAAATATGAAAAATGCCCATTTAATTTTTAAAAAAAGCACCGACGGATCATTATTAGCTATCTGTTTGATCTTAGGGCTTGGAAGTTTATCTTTATACTGATTATTATTTATGGATTATTTTCTATGTATCCTGATGAATAAAAATAATATTGATGCTCATTTGAATTTCAAGTTTGTTGTGTTTGTAAAATTCTTTTCTTTCACCCCACAGATAGTAATTTAGAAGGTCCACATGAAAAGAAACATAAAAAGCAAAAAAGGCATGATGAAGAAAAAGAGAAAAAAAAGAAAAAGAAAGAGAAGAAGAAGAAAAAGGTTATTTCTGATTAACGGTTTTAAGTCTTAAGTTTCTTCTCAACCAGATAATTCCAAAAGATTAAAAGTAACATTTTTGTATTCAAAATCTTTACAAATTTTAAATGCTATATCTGTATCGCTATACAGTAAAACTCCAATTATGTGGATTTCCCATAACCCAAACTACTTGTTCTTTCAAGAGCATTTTAAATGAGGCATGCTTCCTCTTCCCTGTAATGAAAAGTAAAAAAATGTGCAGATATACCCTGTTTTACACTACCTTACTTTTAAACATATATCAGTATTTTCTGAATTTATGAAAGAAATTGTAAGAAAACAGTTTTAAGGAAGAACATTAAAAATATGGTACAGTTTTTTATGCCAAATAATGAAACTGAAATTACTTAAAAAATTATAACTTTAGCTGAAAAAGATCATACAGGCTTAGGTAAATGTTATGCAAGATTTTGATTGCCTACAAAGTGTTAAGTCAGCACTCTTGCATGATGTCATATTCTAGACTTCCATATTGTTTAGAGTAAATGACAAATTTTGTATTTCGATATTAAAGCAAGTAGAGAAACTATAGACACAATGGCTTATTAAATGCAAATAATGATCTTCTTTCCTTCAGTGATTCCTCAGCTACCTAATTTTATACAGCTCAGTATGTTTATTGACTTTAGCTTTTGGAAGGTGAATGTGTACTCTTTCTGTTTATTTGGGCTGCATGCTTTTGATATTAAGCTATGTATAAAGTACTACAGCAGTTTACTTTCTGACATAGTGGTATACAAACTTGTAATGTTCTCCTCTCGTTCCTCCCCTCTCTTTTCTTCTTTTTTTTATATATATAATGTTGTAAAAACTGTTTCCATTCTCAAGGAAAATGCACATTCTTGAGCATAAAATCTAATATTTTGTATTTAGTCAATTCAGAAAGGAAAAGAAGTGCATTATTATGATAACACAAAAAAAAAAAAATCTTGTATTAATACATTCAGAAGTTGGTTGTGGTGTAGGGGCATCACTAGTTTTATATATAAAGAGAAAATTCAGAATGTGTTGTTAAATTAAACAACAATGATTTTAAAATGTGTATTGTTAATTTTATTATTTTATGTTAATAGAAGTATAAATGTGTATTTTACATTCCGTATAATTGAAGCAAAAGTATTTTTTGATTGTATTGTTTTTGCTAAAATAAAGAGGAATTATACCTTCTTTTTTTTTTTTTTTTTTTTTCACTCACATTACAATAAGTTAGTGTTTAACCTACTGAAAGAAGACAGTCAAGATTTTCTGGTTATCTGGACTTACTGTAAATCCCAGTTAGATCATATAATTGGAGTTTTACTGTATATGTGCATGTGAATGTATTTGAACTTTATTATTATTAATAATTAAGAAGTTTTTTCCTTTTTGCAGTGCTTATTCATAATTTAGATTTCTGCTCTCCTTTCTTTTATTGATTATAGGATTTTGTCTGCTAACCTCTATACAGATATGATCAAATTATTAGATATTAACAAGAGTATTTTTAGAGCTATTTAATAATTAATATTGAAAAGTTTTGCTTTTCTGAGCATTTTAATGTGTTCAAGCATTGATTCCATTAAAGATTTGCAACAGGTGTTGTGCTTAAGTGAAAGTTGCGTTCTCTTGGCTATTCTGTTTTACTTCAGCTTGCTTTTTGCAGTGGACCACGATGTTTTTAATTGATTTCATATCCAGATTATTTCCTGGTGAAAGCAAAACTTTGTTAAATTTAGCTAAATTCAGAAACGTTTTTCTTATTGTCATGGTGTATGATTTGATAGTTTTTATTAGAAGACCAATATTTTATTGGAGGTACAAAACATGTTTTAAAAACGGTCATGCATTTTTCCCTTCTGATAATTACTCTTGTAATAAATAATGTCGCCAGATTTTCAGTATTATTGCATTCCAGACCATTTTTGACATTAGATTCTTTACACTTTATCAAATATGTTCTTTCTTAAATATCAAATATGTTCTTTCTTTGGCACATGGGAACATATCATTGATGTTTTTTATTTAAGAGAGAAGATCCTTTCATCTGTAAAACATCTAAAAATTATTAATCTCATTTTTTACCAAGAAAATTTATCTTACATTAAAAAATAAGATTTTTTTAATAAAATTTAATAAAATGAAATTAAATAATATTCATTTATGTCTAGTAAAATATTGGTGAATATTTTATTTACTTCCAGTTCTGTAATATCTTATTCTTGAAGATTTTCAACATAAATATATTACATTGTAGCAACAACAGATTAATTTTGGTCTTTTTTCAGGGCTGTAAACTTTTAATCCGTTATTGAATAATGTTGTTCTCATTGCCTCAACAATTTCAAAACAACCGTATTAAGTTGCCTTTCTATTTAATAAGTATATTTTCTTCTTCAGCTTGGAGCTTTCACTGTTGAAAGTTGCATGAGCAGATGCATTAACTTGTCTACTGTTCGGCAGCGGACCTGCTGGGCATTAAAGCCCTTCATTGGAATGGTTGTAGAGGAGTCTAGGGTTTGACCACCGCTTCAACTCCAAAGCGGACATGACGAATTTTTTTTTTGTGCACTCCGCTAAGCTCAGTGGAGAGGTGTGTTGGTTTTCTGGCTTTATGAGCACCATGCAGTCCACTGTTCCAATTTTTTCCATATCATTCACGTCAATTTAATTTTCTGTCACATTTTCCTTTTCAAGTTTAGGTATCGTGTGTGTGTTTAAATAAAGTTTTTATGAGGCTCCTGTATTTTTACTAATTGAATTTTTTGCAATTTCCCTTTGATTATTTTTGGTTATAGGAGTTCTGACAGGTTTTTGCAAGATTGATAACCCTTTTCTCAACCCACTGAAAAATATATGTGAAAAACTAGTACTTCCTTGTTAAAATGGTCACTACATAAACCTTTGCCAACATTTGAAATCTGCATATTATATAATGAATTTTAATAAAATGTAAAAAAGTAATAATTTTATATATATATATATATATATACACATAATAGATTCATGGTCTAATGCAATCAACTTGCATAGAAATATGAAGAAAACAAAGTTGTGTTTTTTTTTTTTTTTTTTTTTTTTTTTTTTTTAAGGAGGAATGATAATGATGTCTCTCAAACATTGTTAAAGTAGCTGTTAGGTAATTGTTGCCATTATTAGATTAATACATTTGTTGCCAGTCACACACAGGCCCGTGTGCATGATGTAGTGCTATCTCCCAATAGCCAATCAACACTAGCACATGGAGAGGCATATACATATTAATAGTTCATTTTCGTGTTAGTTGGTTTCTAGGAAATTTTTATGTACATACCCTGGAAGTGAATGGTTAAGAAATGTAACCAAAAAAATTTATGTTTTCGTATAATTGTTGATTTAGACATAAAATAATAATTTTATCTCTTTCTTTTTTATTTATTTATTTTATAGCCTTGGGTAGCATTTAATGGCACACATACATTTATAAAATTAAAAGGTAAAATAAATTGGAACTTTTTATATAATATAGACCTTAGAAAAGCTATGTTCCCATTTTGAGAAATGAAGAAACTGCTTTTTGAAAACTCATAAATTTAAAACAGTTCTACTTTAAGCTTACACCAGACACTAAATATATTCTCAGTGCTATTTAAAATTCTAAGCTGGACATGTGTTCCTTGTATATAACTGTATATAATTTCATTTTAAGTGCTTGTTTTGGTATCTGTGATAAAATTTAAAACAATTTATATTGTTACTATGTTTTGTAATTATTTTCTACTCATTTTTGTTTATTATGATGTTATATATATGTATATATAATGACAAATAATATTTTATCAGTAGCAATTTAACCCTCCGAGTGGCACAAGTTTTTGGATCTGCTCATAAAGACCTGTGTTTAAACAGCATTTATTAGGCTAAATTTGTGTAATTTTCATCAACTTACATTCATTATGATGATATTTACATTATTATGGAAAGTAAGAAAGCAAAATATCTTAAATTATAAGCTAATGTGTACCACCAAGTGACAAAAAAAAAAAAAAAATCTCATGACTGGTTAGCTGCTCAGGGGGTTAATAGATGCTGTTTCAGTGAATATTCATTTTGAGGAACATTTCTGAATTATTAAGTTGTGGAGAAATTAATCATGAAACATATTAAGTTTTAGCATTAAGAACAAATGTGTAGTGTAGTCTTTCAATTTTTCATGTCATGTTGCATAACATTGTCTCACTGTCTAATAAAGTACATTATTTCTAGCATCATGTATTGTGTATTTTCTCTGTGAGATTTTATATATGAATATTTTATTTCAAATTCATGTCTTTTCAGTCCACAACTGATAACACATGTTAAAAAAAAAGATAAAATAAGAAAGAAATCTGGAAGCTTGGAAATTTATAACACTTTTTAGTGATCGTGGTCTGTGTCTTATATCTAGATTAGTGAAAAAGCTATGGTGATTATTGCTTTGCAGTGCATAATTTCTCTGTATGAAAATAATGAAGTGTACACTTAATAGTTTTGATTATTATAAATATAAGGATCAATAAAATGAAAGTGAACTAATTGAGTTAAATTTGTTTGTCGGAAATATTCATCTTCAGCCTGAAAACACTTGTCTCATTCGAGAACTAGATTAGTATATCTGTGACTCTTTTGTGCATCCATATCCAAAACAAATATACGACAATTTTTACTTTCTCTTTAGCTCATATAGATCACATGGCAAAAGATATGGTTCCATTCATGTGTTGCATGTTCAATGATTAAAATTCTTTATGATAAACAACAAAATATTTTCCTCAAAGATTACCATTTTGGCTTTCTTTGCCAAGATCCCTGATGCCTTCATTATAGGCTTTGATTTTATGTTTATAATTAATAACAGTGGCAACAATTCAGTGTAAAAACTCTTTATCTTCCCCGTGATGATACAGGAGATAAATGATTGCAGTATCTGATCTCTGATATACATTATCCTCAGTTAGAACCTTCAAAATGCGCAATGAAGCAGTTAATGTTTCATATCCTGGAGTAGTGTCCATCATATTGAAAGTAATGTTTGTTCACTTTTTAAGATGAAATCATCAGTACTGTAATTCAATCTATTTAGATAAAAGCACCAACTTGTGGAATTGTGTGCATTGTTATAGTGCAGTGGTTTTGTCCCAGTTGCAATCCATAGTTTCTTTGGAGTTTATTCATCCTCTTTGAAACATATGTAATTGTACACTCTTCTTGAAATGTACAGTTGATACATTTTCTTTGAAACATTTGCATCTTTGTTTTAGAATGGGCATTGAAATGTAAGGCCCACTAACAGGCATACAAAAATGATGTGTTATGTTTAGTGATATGTGTCATTTGTAGAAACTTTCAGTAGACAGAAGAGCAACTGCACAAAACTCTTTTTCCCTGGAACAATTATTGCAATGCAAAGCTTTGTTTAACATGCAGTAATGTAACTATAAATGTACAGTAAGACTACTACTACTACTACTGTAAAATAAGGCAATTCGGGGGTTATTGCATAAATTACATAGTTTTGAAATAACTTGGCAAAACCATTCAACCAAAGGAATAATTGGCTTATTGTTATTTGACACAATATAAGAATGTGTATTTCTGTAAATTGAACTAGCATATGCATTTGAGTGAAGCAAATTCTATGTTTTCTTAGTGAATGAAATGTCAGCAGGGTTTATCTTTAAGTTAGGCAGGGAAAAAACTCATGAGATTTGTTATACTTCTTTATTTTATTGTTAATAATGTAAAACAAAAATTTTGAAACTTTTAATCGAGATTTTTTCTTGCAACTATCTTTATCCAGAAATTTTCCAATTGTCAGTATGCAATCAGTAAAAATGTTAAATTTGTCTTGTACATACTATGGCATTTTGCTCCCCTTCCCATATGTGATGGCTTTGTCATCATCTGAATTACAATTTTAGTCTTTTAATTTAATCTTTATATGAAGAGCTTGATGTATATACATAACTACAGTAACTGGTGTTTATAAGTAACAGTGAAACTACTGTCCTAATGGCAGACATTTGCTTAACAGAATTTGTTAATTTTGAGGAATATTGAAATGTTACTTAGTATTATTTATCAATATAGTAAATTGATGTAATATTTTATTTTCAAAATGCATTAAAAGTGCTGTTTCGTTGGCAAAAATCCGTCAGTTTCTTGTGCTACTTTATTATTATTACTATTCCTTCCAACAACCAAAAAAAAAAAAAAAAAAAGATAATTTTTTTTAGCTAATTGTTTTATAAAGGGAAAATAATTTTATATGCATGTTTCACAGTAACAAGAAAAATTCAAGTTTTGCATCAGTCAAAGCATTGCCAGTAAATTATTAAAATGTGAAATATTTCCATGTTACCTTGATTCTGACTGAATAATCAGTAGCATAATCTGTAAGTATGGTGTCGTGAAATACAATTTCACTTGGAACCATACCTAGGTTTAATAAATGCCATTCTAAAAAAAGATAGTCACATAAATGCATACATGTAAACAGAAGTAATTAAATAATATTTACCTTTTTTTTTTTTTTTTTTTATCTACATGTACATGTGCATCTATTTTAAGCTCTAGTAGTCCTAAGATTTGTCTTGAAATTCAGAGCATATAGGATATATCAAACTCTCATCTATTGTGTTCAACCGTTTATTTGTTGATAACGATCAGTGATTTTTAATATTAAAAAATACTTTGTATACCCTATTTTTTGAAACCATGGGTTAAAAATAATAAAAATTTGTTGTATGAACTACAATCATGTTCATAAAAATTGCTATCATCATAGATAATTAGTCACATTGCTTGATTTATAGATTAGATTGCCTAAAATGCGAAAAATTTGACTGAAAAGCTGTAGTATTTAAATAGTGAAACAGCAAGAGAGGATTTTTACATCTTAAGAAATTCTGAAAATAATTGATTTATTAATTCTGAATAGAAGGGAAAATATTTTTCCAAGCAAATGAATGCTCTGATATTTCCGAAAAAATGGGAAGTTTTTTTTTTTTTTTTTTTTTGGGGGGGGGTAATATTTCTCCTTAAATTCAACAGAACAAGAACCTTTCATTTACAATTTAATTTAATTAAACTTTTGTTTTCAGAAGCATTGTCCAGACCCTACCACTGGTTCATCCATTATTCCCACTCCTGGCACTCTGCCCCATCCAAACGGAACTCCGAAGCCTCTTTGAAAAATAAATTATCTATTGTGTTTGCATTCTGAATGTGTTTTATATCTTGTGTATATATGTTTTAACTTATGTATAGTATTGTATTTTATAAGTGTTTGAAATATAAACTAAATAAATGTGCATAAACAGAGCTTACAGATTTGCATTCTTGTGTGCAAAAGTTTATAAACTTCAGAATATATATAAAAATGAAAAATTTAAAACATCTTATATTAAATATTTTTTATCTTATTTTCTCTCATATAGTCAAATAATGTGGTATAATACCCAGATAATTAGTAATAGGTTGTAGTAAAATGTAGTTTTTATTCATAATGTTTTAACTATCATTTACTGTTTTCCATAATGTATTCATCTTTTGTTACAAACGTTTGTTTATATACATTTTATCCTATCCCATTTTTCTGTGTGCAGTTTGTTCCATGTGTTAATTGCAGATAAGCTATTCATTTTTGGTAAATGTGTTTTGAAAATCTAAATATCTTTTTTTTAATGTTTATTATCTGATTCAAATAAGAATTCAACAGCATTATTTAGTTGCATGTTCCTCTTTGTAAATATTTAAAATTCCAGTGCAGAATTTTAGTCGCATTTGAGGAAGTTTGCTCGATTAAGACTTTGTTGAGTAGTACATATATGAACAGGTGCTGTACCAAAAGTCAGTGATTTTAAAATCATATTTAATCGTATCATCTAATCTAATTTAATCTTCATAGTTTAATTAAAGGTTTTTCAGCCTTGTATAGATAGAGAGGATATAAGAGTTGATAACAAAGGGCTCAATTTTTAGCAAATTTGCCAGCCAAAATAAAAAAAAGTACTTTGGAAGTTTTATATTAAATATTTATATACGGAGGATGCTTATTTAAAGGCAATGAGACAAGGAGCCAATTAAAATATTTATTTACATATTTCAAGTATTCTTAAGACTCTTAGGTTTTTGCTGTTTAGTTTTCCCCTATAAAATAAACTTTTTTTTTCCCAGAGGTATAATTTTCATCATTATGTCTTATAACTGAAATATTAATTTGAAAGTTCTAATTGTAACTTTAAATTGTTATCACCTAATTAAATATGTTTGTTCCAGTTTATTGTCATAAATGTCACTAAAAGTAGTATAAAAAAATGCTAGTAACTTGGAATTATTACCTTTGTTACCCTCTTGTGTGAATTTACCCATATTTTTAGAAATTGAAGGGGAAAAAAAAATGTGGAGCATGTCTGTTGATGAACCAATCGCAGTATAATTTTAGCACTTTAGGTACTTGGACATGATCATCAATTCTTGCATCTGTATGTACACAAAGGAAAATATTTTAATTAAAAGAAAGTTTTGTTTTACATGTTTTAATGAAATATTTTATTTACTTTATTATTATGAAAGAAAAAGCAGTGTGTTCCTCTTCCCCCCCCCTACTTTCCATTTCCAATTAGATGCTGCAATTCGATGTATTTCTCTTGCATTTCAAATTTCATTGTCAGATTTACCTTTTTAGTTGTTACATTATTTATTAAAGTTATAATGAAGTCATTCCAATTTAATTTACTAGCTTTTTATAGTTAAAGAATATTCTTGCAGATTTCCTGTGTGTATATAAAATAATTCATAAAATTGCACACTTTAATTTTTTTTAACACTTTTGTTGTTCTTAATTACTGAAGCAGAAGTATTTATAGTGCATTTGAAATGACAGCTTGGTGTAGCTTATGAAACAATATTCAGTCTACTGAATTTGGTACATTTCAGAGATTTAGTATAAACTGATACAGGAAAAGAAAAGGATATCTATTTTTCATGTAAAGCATACTGTAACAATGCTTCCCATTAAAGTTTGGACTTGAAATGGGAGCCTGATCAAACTCTGATACTTTACAAAAGCATTTATTCTTTTATGTGCATTAAATGTTTGTTTCAAAAACATTTTATCATTCTTAATTTCATCTTCATAATCTTATTTTACTAGACCCTTTCTTTATTTAAAGTAAATTTACAATTTTTAAACTAATATGGAATCATTCTAGGTACTTTTTAAAAATCTAATTGATACATTTGGACAGAAGTAAGATGTTTTACTGAGGAGTAAATAGTGAATTTTGTCCGAAGTGACTTATATCTGGTACCTTGGTACATAAAGATGTATTGAAACAGTAGGAAAAGATTTTTATAATTGTTTGGCTGTATGAAATATTTGATACTAAGTGCTTGATTTTGATGTTTAGTGCTTGTATGTTCAAGAATATAAATAAATATTTATGGTAATTTTTGGAAAAAAAAAAGTGTATTTTAGATTTATTTGTGTATTTTCTTTTTTCAAAGGAGTTGGAAGTGATAACATGAAAAATAAGTGGATAAAGAATAGTAGCAAGAATGCTTTCAATAGCATGCTACTTTTACATGCTATTAGAGAGATAAAGCATAAAATTTGAGTAGTAATAGTCAAAGAACAGACAGGTAGTAATAGTTTTTTTTTTATCCTGTATCTATAACAGGATAATTGGTCTTAACATGGGGCAGGAGTCTGTAATAAATGACAGTTCTAACTTAAGTAAAATATATAATCTTTCATTATGTTAACTCAGTAGTAATCAATAATCAAATGAAGATTTTAAATATGGAAACTATGCACACAATAATACTCATACTTGAATGGCTGTTAGTGTAAAATGACCTGAAAGCTGTCAAGTTATTATTTTTAATTTTTTCAATTAAAGTATTTATTTTTTATAAAAGCAATTACAGGTTATGGCCAAATATACCTGTTTTTAATTTTTTTCAGATGTTTATCAAACAATCATAGTAATTATTTAAATAAGTGCACAGTAACACATACAAATGAGTTATACCATTTAAAAGGAAACTGGTTCATGTTAATGGAACTCATGGAAGAAATTGTACAAACAGCTGTGTAACAGCCTACTTACTTGAATCTGAATTGGTTAAACTGCAAATATGTAATTTTCTTTCATATCCAGCAAAGTCAAGGTGTGTGGCGTATGTTGCTAATAGAACTGACACTTGGTGGTGAGAAAGGGCAGGGAAGATACCCTGATGCCAGTTTGGAACTTTTGATTCAGATGTAGGAACTTCATTGTAGAAAAAATTGAAATCCTAAAATTGCACATATTGAATTCTATACATAAGTATATATTTGGGGATTTGTAACCTTATGCTAATTGTAAACATTAATTTTTAAAAGAGGAGAAAATACTATTAGAGGTGGATTATTTATTGATGAAGCAGTAAACTCAAAAGAACTAAGATCATTGGGTAAACCAGTGAGTAATTTTGATTTGTTTTCTTGAAATCTTACTATTGAAAATTTGTATGTCACAGCGATAACTGTCATAATAAAATAGTCATCAGAACTGGAGTCTCTGTAGAAAATACGTTTAAGTGGGAACCATTATATTATTGAACTGTAGTAATACTTGTGTGGGTAATTGATATAAGATAATGTTATATCAATTATCAAGCACATTTATTTAAGATAATGTTAACCAAATGTAATGTATAGAATATAAAAAAAAAAATTCAGGAATTTTCAGTACAATTTGAGAATACTTTTTATAACAATGAACATTTATCTAAAGTAGATCAGTATGATTAATGCAAAGCTTTCTTAAAAGGGCTAGCCTCAATTAGTATTCAAGGACTATTGATAGCAGAACATTCAGCATCCATTTGTCCTTACAGTCACAAGACTTAACATACTACTTTAATTGCTGCAGCTACTGTGCTTGCAGGATTATTTCTGTTGCATATTTGAGTACAGCATGAAACCATTCTCATGGCAACACTACAATTTCAAATGAGCTATGCTGAAAAAGTATTTGATGCACTTTATTATGAAAATACCACAGCTTCATATAACAGTAATTCAGAACACAAAAAAAGAATATCTAAAAGTATTTGCATTATTGAACATAATAAAGAAATTCAATCTGAACAATTATCACATCACAATAAAATGCCTTCTAGAATCGGTGATAAAATGGGATGCATATTTCTCTTTCTGGAGAATTCAATTAAGTATCAATGAAAAGAAATCTTGAAAATGAAATATATTTCAAGAAGAAGCAATTTATAGCATAAACAATAATATTGTTCATTCAAATATCTATGTTGACAGTATATTAATACTTTTTGCAATTATTAAAACATCTCCATTAATTCACAAGTTTCGGCATTAATTATGAAATAGCAAGATTCATCACAAAAGTTTTTGGTTGAAAGCTCATACTGGATCATCTGGCAATGAGTTTGCAGATCAATTGGCAAGAGGCCATCGAAAATTTTAATGCAGAATATATTCCCATTATCTGGCTTAGATCATATCTTAAAAAATATCCCTTAGCAATCTGTAGAAAATAGCTGAAAGAATAAAATATTTGTAAATGAGGCAGATGCACATTTAATTATCTACCAACAATTGGCCTGAATCACAAAATTTTGATACCGCATTTATCGAGATATGTACCTGGATATGGTTCCTTCGTAGCATTTAATATAAGCATGGATTTACCAATGCTGATCATTGTAACTACGGGGACAAAGGATCATCATACCATTATGTAATCGAATGCCTCTTAGCAAAGCAGTATCACGTTAAATTCAAATCCATATTTATTGGGAGCAGTTGTGAAAGTTTTTATAAAGAAGTACGAGTCTGAACGCAAAAAAAAAAAAAAAAATGTCTTCTAGACAGTGGCTTGTACGTGAATGATAAAATAGATACAGATACATAAATGAAGCATCTGGAGAACATTACGAATGTACTTCGGAAAGGGGGTTTTAATATGAGAAAATGGATTGCCAATGAAACTACAGAGGATCGGTGAAGAGAATAAGAAGCATATTCATTGTGCAAATTGCAAAATTTAGGTTGCATCTGGAACAGAGAAAAGGATTTTCAGATTGACGTAAAAGAATTTACAGGAGAGTTCATGAAATTCTATGAAAAAATTTTAATTTATCAAGTGAGAAATTTGGAAAATTATCGGGTATTAATACGATCCTTTAGATCTTTTAAATCCGTTGTGTACAAGAGTATACATTCTATTGAGAAAAGTATGGAAATGTGAACTTCATTTGAATAAAATCTTACCTCATGAACTAACTACATGTAATTTAGGAAAATGGAAACAAGAATTATCACAAATGTAGAATGTAGAAATATCGAGACATTTATTTCAATAATTTTCAGAAGGAACAAATAAAAATATTTTAGATTCTCACAAGTAACAACTGTGCAAACCCAATTTGTAGTTTCAAAATCTTGAGCAACCCCATTTGAAATATTAACCTAGCCAAGACTATAACTTACAGTTGCATTAATTGTAGGCAGATCAGCAAAAGTAATATTGGAGAATTTGAAAGTGATAAATATTAACATCATATTATTTACTGACTCTATGATTGTGTTAAATTACGTGAAAGATTCTCCAAGAAAATGGAAGCCATTTGTTCCAAACAAGAAACATCTGAAACAGCAGCATGTGCATCAAAGAGAACGGAGTAGGCTTCATCACTAGAAATGAAACTATCTCGGATTTGAAGAATAAAAATAGTTAGTTGTTCGGACCCTTATGGTTAACGATGGCAGAAAATTGTTGGCCAAAATTATCCATAAATTGCAGTTCTGAAGAAATTCAAATTGAGAAAAAACTTTAAATTTTTTTTTTTTTTTTTTTTTTTCATTTGGAGAAAATCAGGAATTTTTATAAAACTCTAAGAGGACAGGCTGGCTATAAAGATTAATTAGTCTAAGATGTGCATTGTTATAATAAGAGACCGTAAAACTAAAAACATTAGAAGAATGCGAAATAAATCTATCAGAGAATGTAGACCAGATATTTTAAGTTGTAGCTGGAAATTGAAGATTTAATTTCTGAATTAAAGGATCTCGATGTTAAAGTCGAAAATACTCTAGAATACAGAGAGCACATTGTTTGCGCTCAAAAACAAGAGGAAACAATCAGGTCTTCTAAGAACTGAAATATCTAAAACTACTACTGGATTAGAGACATTCAACAGTAATTCCCCCCCCCCGAAAATGCAGTTTTGGACTTTTCGGGAAAGCATCCTGCTGTTCTGGATAGGACAGTTATTTGGCAAAATTGCTGATAAAGGATAGTAACGAGAAACATATGGGTATAGAAATCACACTCACACACATAAGTAAAAAATTTTGTTTGTTAAAAGGAAGACAAATGCTGAAGAATATTTTGAGAAAATGCGTAATCTGTTAACAATTTAAATCAAGAGCAATGAATCAAGGTCCTGTAACGTTGCCACTAATCAGAATGAAGAAAACATTCCTGTTTGAAGTTACAGGAATAGTTTTTGGATTGTTATTTTACGAAGACTACCGACAAAGCTTATACTGTTTGTTTTCATGCGCGGTTACGCGTGCTCTACTTCTGTCGTTAATTTCCAGTCCTACTACTGAAATGTTCGTATTAGCTATTAGAAAATTCATTGCTCTGCAACCCGCAATGTCAAAACGTTTAAAGAAGCAGACTGAGAAGTTATAGAACACGATCGAAGAGTGCAAAAACATTTTGGCAAGCTAGCCTTTTGAGAACGACTTCTACATTCCATAAAATCGTGACTAAAAAAGATTTCGCTAGAGAATACTTAGATTATCTATTCAAGAATTAGAAATAAAACAATGCTGAGTATTAGACAGCTTAACTACCTGAAAGATGACTACCCGGTCCTCTTACGCCAGCAAATTTTCAGTAGGACGCCAACTGCTTGCATTACCAGTGAAAACATCAGCGAAAGAAGAGCTGATAGATGTTACAAACACATAAAAATAGTAAGTGAAAGGACATTTGGAGAAACTGACAACGGTCATATCTTCTGGAACTGAGATCTGTTCGTGGAGCAAAATCAGCAAATAATCCATTTAAGATTGCTGAACGCATGATAATTTTGATACTTGATGATAAAACACCCAGAATATTTTGGAAATTGGGAGAAATCCTGTAACTCCATGAAGGTCGTGACGGAAAGGAACGTTTCAAATGGAACTGAAACTTTCCCGAGAAAGGTGCTTATAGGTCATTATATTTGAAAATAAAATATAAAGGCCCTTATAGGTGCTTACTTTTTCTTTAAAGCCCTTGTTTTTTTTTTTTTTTTTTTTAGTGCTTATTTTTTGCTTTTAGGGTTTTTTTTTAAATGAACGCTCAATTTTTCCCCTTACCAAAGCCGAAACTAAATAAACAACTTTTCTTCCTAATATGGAATGTCAGATGGTGAATCATACTCC